CTAATGCTCCTCGCGACAGCCCCTCCTTGGCCGATTCCTCTGAGGAAGGATCTACTGACTCAGAGACGGGGCACCCTTGGGCACACGCGTCCAGACCTCTGGAAACTTCATGTCTGGTCCCTGGATGGAACGCGGAGGTTCTAAGTGACCTCCGTTCCCTCCCTCAGGGAACGAGGGTTACCATACGTAACCGAGACGTTTTTCTGTTACATTTTAACTGAAGCAGGGATCATATCAAGAGACCACAATATTATTTTAGACATGGAGCTGTGTGTTTTTTTTTTTTAAACTTGGGCTAATAAGTAATCACATAGCAACTAATTCAAACAACCACCCAGAACACTTTAGTATACATATATCAGGTTTTTCATTGTTAATCAGCACTCCCTGAAGAAAACGTCAAAATCCAGTTAATTTCAAACCATCAAATTCTATTTCGTAAGAGCTAAATGTGGAACAGACGATTCATTTGCACCTCAGGATGCCCAAGTCATCTTCTAGCTGAGGAGCACTTCCCATCCCAATGTAATCATTGAAATCTATATTACTTAATAGTTCAGGTGTTTGACTATAAATTATTCTCATATAAGGTACATGAATCCAAATGAATTCATGCACATGCAAATTTAATTCATTGTTGTTTTATATAAAAATGCAGATGAATGTCTTTGACTTTTGCAGCATATCTTGCTGATTTTCTGCCTCTTACACCATGTGCACTTTTAAAGGGATAGTTCACCCAAAAATTCTGTCATTAATTACTTACCCTCATGTCGTTCCAAACCTGTAAGACCTTCGTTCATCTTCGGAACACAAATTAAGATATTTTTGATGCATTCCAACAGCTCTCTGACCCTCCATAGATAGCAAGGTTCCTAACACGATCAAGGCTTTTTGTGCGCAAAGAAAACAAAAATAACGGCTTTATTCAACAATTCGTCACCTTATAGCGCCATTTTGGACAGCATCACATACGTAAACGATGCATGCTGTTCTGTGTCAGCAGCACCATACGTGGATGAAGCGTTGTTTACGTTGTGTACGCTTTGACCGGAACATAATACATTGTTTACATATGAGATACTCTTCAAAATGGCGCTACAAGGTGACGCGGAGGAGACGAATTGTTAAATAAAGTATTTTTTTTTGTTTTCTTTGCACACAAAAAGTATTCTCATAGCTTCGTAAAATTTAAGTTGAACCACTGATGTCACATGGATTATTTTAATGATGTCCTTACTGCATTTCTGAGCCTTGATCATGTTAGGATCCTTGCTGTCTATGGGAGGGTCAGAGAGCTCTCGGAATGCATCAAAAATATCTTAATTTGTGTTCCGGAGATTTAAGACACTGTGTCAGGTTAAAAACAGTCTAAAATGACATACAGGCCAAGATGCAATTAATTGTGTTAACTTCAATTAATTAACTTTTTCCCTGCCATTGACTGAGTTTTCCGGCTCTCCGTGTTTTCACTGTTACATGGTAGGAGGCGCTATTACACATCTTCTGAAAGAGTACTGAATGTCTGGATCAAAATACAGGCGAAGAAGAAGCAGTAACAAGCAATTGTGTATTTAAGCAGATGCATTAGAGGGCCGGAGTGATTCATTTTTTGTAGCCGCTATGTACACAACCTCCAGCCTTCTTCCATCACCACGAAGAGGATAAAAGTGTTTACAGGACTTACATAAAAACACTCTTTTGTGAGATAACATGTGTGTGTTTAGAGTTATTCCTGCAGGGTGGCTGAGTACAGCTCCAGCCTCTTTTCCACTTTGCTTCCTGCCCTAATCTTTTTATATCTCTGCCTGTCCAGTTGGCAAGAGGCCACTCCGTATCCAGAATCATTCCACCATTATGTGCTTCAAAACTTATTCTGCTGCTGTCTCACATTGAACATCCCTATATGTTCATGGCCCCTCCTTGGAGAAGATCCTCCTGAGAAACCTCCTGGACACCAAACGATGTGAGAAATAATCCATTTTGTTATTGCTTTGGGACTTTTCCAATTCAGCTTAAGCAGGTTTGGGGGGATGTGAGAGCAAGCTTCCATCTTCTAGTAAAAACAGTCTTTGTATATTCTGCAAGGCATCGGCCGACATGCACTCCCTTGGGGCGGCAGGAGTGTTGTAAGCCCATGCTGGTGTCTGCGGTCGCAGGAAGTGACATGGCCTTGTGGCAGGAGACATAGCAACTGGTGTGGGGGAGGGGATGGGGGAGGAGAGCAGGAACAGTGAAGGACATAAATGAAAGAGTAGCGAGGAGATGTGGTGTGAAAGGCAGCCTGGAGGTTCTGGCAGAAAAGAGTTTGAAGAATGATGCTCCAAATATCCAAATCATTAAACGTCCCTGCTCACAGACCGTATGGTCAGAATAAAATCTTGTCTGTTTAAATGCACTTTACACCTGGGTGCTTCAAAAACATTGTATGACTTTAAAATATTTACATACTTTTTAAGGTGATGCAATTTAAAGTCATTGTTACATTCTGTAATTATTCCTAAACCTTGCTGCATGCAGAATACAAATCATTTTAGTCTCTGAGAAGCACGGTCATATTATATTATGAAAAACGTTTTGTCAGGTAACCTAAAAAGCATCATTGAAAGGATAAATGAAAAATAAAAATTCTGTCATAATTTAATCACCCTTATGTCTTATGTCCTGACCTGTACTGTATGACTTCTTTCATCTGTGGAACATGAAGAAGATATTCTGAGGAATGTTTAAACTTCATACAATGGAAGTCAATGGGGTCCAAAAATACAAACAACAACAACAAAAAAAATGTAAATGTATATATTTTTTTGTGTTTCAGAGAAGAATGCCATATATGTATGAATGAATGTATGTATGTAAGTATAAATAAATACTAAGTTTTTTTTTTTTGTTTTACGTTTTTTAAAATGTTATGTTTTTTTTTAATTTTAAAGTTTTAAATAAAACAGGTTATTAGCGAATGTTTTACAAGAATGGAAGTCAATGGGGTCCAAAAATCCAACAAATTTTTCAAAATATTTTCTTTTGTGTTCCATAGAAGAATGTCATACACACTGTAGACACATTAATAAATAAATAAATAAATACGTTTTTTACATTTTAAATAACGTTTTAAATAAAACAAAGATTATTGACAATTTTTACAAGAAAATTCTATTGCAGTTTCTACTCTAAAATTTCATTTTAATTCAGTGTTCCTTGCGGTTTCTTTGTAATGATTTATGAAATTTAAATCTTACACCAATTTCACAATATTTGTTTATGATTTATGTGATTTATGAGAAAATATGATTTACTATGACGTAACCAATTTGACTACTGAAATGTATTTTTACATGTCAGATCAGGCTAAAATAACTCTTGGTTAATATTTGGTTAAAATAAGTTCTGCATATGTGACACTGGTTTATTCCTCCTTTGAAGATGACACTTTGGAATAGACATGCTATGTCTCTATGATTCACTGGAATGGGGGCATCTTGCAATTAATATGTGTGTGACAGAGAGACAGAGATGTGACAGGGGAGGGTCAAGGATGGAGGAACGGTCGTGGCCAGGGGTGGAGAGAATTCGTTAACATTATTATGCTGGAAAAGCCCATCCCCCTTTATGTCCCATCTCGTAAATGTCATAGGGGAAAAAATCTCTTTGCACCATTCAAGGGGTCATGGGAAATCGCATGCGCCAATCAAGAGGAGTGTAGATTGCCATACCTGCTTGACTGCATGTGACATGATGTGTTCAATGGCTCTTAATGTTTGAGTTATCATTAAAAGAGCACAGGTTGAGAAAGATGGTCTTACTGGTCACATGATCAAAACCATGATGCAAAATCATGATGCAGTTAGAACTCATTGTAGATTGAACAACTACCAAGGGCTGTTTCTTTGGATGCATCTAAGTACAAACAGTGGGAAAATGTGCTTTTCAATGGTTTTTACCTGGAATTCAGCCTCCTGTAGGCCTATAAGTTGTATAGTGTTGATTTGGTTAAAAACATTAACTCAGACATGCATTAAACTTCTATAATGATGCAGTATTGAGAAGGATCTATCTAGGATATACTGAATGTATATAACATCAACATATTTGAATGAAATCGAGTTCAGCAGGTCAACTTTCCATAACTTCAGCACCATGGACAGAGCACAACTTCCTATGAATGCCAGTTGAAGCTACATGAAGAAAACAGGCCTAATTTAATTTCATTAAAAGTGCTAATAATGAAAATGTCAACTGGAGTATGTCTCCGAGCATTATTGACATTAAACGCGAATTAGGAATGATTACTGTTCACACAAACCAATAGAGAAACCACATTACATTTCTTCACAACAAAAACAATTCTGTGGACAAATGAAGCGAAATAAATCACAGTTGTGTTGTAATCTTACCTACACGATGGTTAGAACTGAACCAGAGCACATCTGCAGAACTGTTACGGCATCCGCGCGAGCGACTTTTGGCGTCCTAAAACGGCTTAAACGTGAATGGGTTGGGGAAGCAATAAATGCGGCGTATTAACAGTCTCACACGATTAAGATGAAGCGATATCTTGGCGTAATCAATGTGTTCCTTATTTCATACCCGTTTATGTGGAGTTGTCAACATTCTGAGCGACTTTTCACAGACCGTTCCTTAAATGTGAGGAAAAAAAGAAGCTCCGAGAGCACAATGTAGTAATTTAGAAGAGGAAAAACTTGTTGAGGTAAACAAAAGTCCTTTTCGATAGGTAGACCTAATCAAATCCGCCGTCGTTTCTCAGAAATTAGCCTAAACTAGTTCTGCATCGAAGAGTGGTCCGTGAAATGAGGTGCCGTATAAAAAGCCGTTCCTTCAAACGTCCTCAACCGGAACACGAAAGCCTTCGCAGCTCCATAATATCACAATGCGCCTCAAGCTTCAGTTTAGCGTCTTCTCTCTTTGTACTAGAAATTACCACGGACTATGAAATCTCAAGCTTGTTTGTTCTCCGATGCTGATTTGCCGTGTTTGGTGTCGCGTTCTTTCCCGCCAGATAATTGCTGCTGTTTGTCTCGTGCAGCTGAAGTGCACTGTAAATCTGCCCGCGCGCGCGGAGTGGGACGAGACGGTTTTACAGTTCCAGTCACTGCGCTGACTGACGATATGCGGCTATCAGGAGATGTGATGCGAGTTCAACGAATCCAGAGAAGCATCATAAATTCATCAGAGCCCCTGGAAGGCGTTAAGATACCGCCTCACTGATTAATTAAGTCGTTAAAATGTATGTTAAACTTTTCTGAGGCCACACTTTACAACAGTGTTAACGCTGTTGCTTATTTAATCAACATAAGTATTGTTGCTTATTTTAAATATTATGTGGCGAACCTTGTAATTAAACATTATGTTAATAATAATAATGTTAATACTATTGTGTTATAAATAGAAACGTTTATAAAGCGCTTTATAAACGATTCTGATTGGATGCGCCGCGTTCTAAATTGATGATAAATGCTGATAAAAACTGTTAAGGCTAGAAGCAATACAGCTGCAGCTACTGGGCATGCGCACATCAATAAAATGGGTTGGGGTATGTGTAGACATTAATAAAACACAATCTAATAGGTAGAAAATTTAATTTATTGTTGGTTTCCAGCCGTAGCTGTATACCTTAGCCACAACCATTAAATACCGGTGTTTATGAGCATGGAAACTGTAAACCGCGTAGACTACGGTTAGGATGATGAACTATTATTTGCCAGATGAAATGTTTATTTTGATTATTATTACTAATTTTAGCTATTTATTGCTATTTTACCCACCGTATGTTTAACATAAGATCGGACCATTTGTAAATTGAATGTGGAATTTTGGTAATTGCAACTTTTTATCTCACAATTCTGATTTTTTTTTTTCTCAGAATTGCATGATTTAAACTCGCATTTCTGACTTGTTATTTGTTATAAATGTTTTTTTTCTTTTGCAATTCTGACTTTTTTTCACAATTGTGCATTTATATCTCGCATTTCTGATAACAAGCAATTGCATTATAAGTATTTTTTCCTCAGAATTGGACTTTATAACTAGCAATTGTGAGTTTATTTCTCACAATTCTGAGAAGTCAGATTTGCCAGACGTAAACTCACAATTGTGCGAAAAAAGTCATAATTGTGAGATATAAAGTCGCAATTACTTTTTACATTTTTTATTCAGTGGCAGAAAGAGGCTTTCATATTATGCTGCTTGATATTGCAAATAGTTTGCACTTTGTTACTCTTCTAGTTAATTACCCAGTCTTTAGCACATTCACAGAAAATATTGCTTACTTCTTATTCAAAATAAGGTGGATAAAAGCCTTGGTAAAATGCAGTGATAAGTACATCAGAAAAGCCATGACTTCACATGACTTATTTTTTTATTTTACTAAAAATTGAAGGCCAAGTTATTTAAAATGTTATTGTAAGATTAAAGTTGCGTTCCTGCACCACTAGCCTCACTAAATTGAAGCTTTCTGAACACTTCCCCACCCCTTCTGTCATTGGCTGACTAAACATATAGTCCCACCCCAAACACACGCCATTGGTTGAGTCGGATGCCACACTTTTCAGGGAAATAAGCTTTATATTTACTCATACAGTAGTTGTCTTTGCATATCAAACAGGGATAGCTTTAAAAATCTAACATCCAAAGGCTAAACACTTCACATTTAAAGCTGTATTTATAGTCATGAACATTTTAAACTGTATATCTGATTACTCTATAAGCATTTACTGTATTGGCAGCTACATTTACAAATGCAGCGTTTCACATTTTCACTTTGTGCACGACACATCAAAGAGGTCCAAGACAGCTGTTGTGAAGTGCGATAAAATGGTGTGTGTCATATTTTCATTTCTCATTGATTGCTCTTTCCCGATTTGCAATTTGATGGAACCAGCGGCTGTTTACATTCAACAGTGCATATCATTCTTGGTTGGAGCGATGAGCGTTGAGTATTACACCCATCCTCACAGTCTTCCTTTCTCTCACACGAAATGTTGACATAAGATCTACTGTAGATGATCATGTCATGTCAGCCGCTGATTTCCTTCAACTCCTTATCTGCTGAAATCTGGCCATAAGGTTGTTCTGAAGACCGAACAAAAGAGCCGCCTAGTGGAGCTGGATGAAAGCCAAGATAAGCAGTAGCCCATCTGTAAGGACTGCTCATTGATTTTGGCCAACATGATAATGACTTGTAGGATACACACACTGCAAGGACTCTGTAGCTTCTCCATCTGAAGACACAGAATGGACTCTGTGTATTAATGGCCGCAATGCATTTTGTTTATACAGCCAAGAATACCAACCAAAAATGAATCCGCTATCAGATCATCAGATTCTCCATCTATGTTGTTTATTACGGCAATAAGCTTTCCAGTTCTTTCTGCTGAAAGCTGCAGCGTGTAATGTTGTCGCTGATGGTTGGGTTGGGTTATGGACTTTAGAGTGCTCTTATAAAGGTTCAAAGCTTTACCAGCCTTTACTCCAGCTTTTTTCATCATAACGTCATCTTGAGGTGCATCTTGAATTAAGTGGTTGTCAGGACAACAGGAGTCATCTGCTCTACAGATTTAGCAATATCAATAATATAACTATTTTACAATTTGGCGAATTAGTGGCTAATTCATATGATTTTGTATGATTGCCTTTGCACGTTTTCATACAATCTGCTTAAACCCTGCTGACACTTAGGTTTAGTGGTGGAGCTTCATGCTTTTTCTAAAATCATATGTTTTTGTATGAATCACAGTATGCAAATTCATACAACCTCGTAAAATAGTTACGTTGTTTCTCATGAGTTTCAACTATGAGACTTCATTTATTTATTGCACAATGAGGGCCATTTACACAGACTGTGTTTTTGACTGCAAAAGTCGTGAGCACAACGCGTTCGTTTAGCGCATTAACATAGAAGAATAATGGAATAGTAAACCGCATTCTGTCTGAACAGCCCTTAAAGCAGTTGGAGTTGTATATTTGTGGATTTAAAATTTTTTTTGTGTTGTACCAGCTATTTGTAGTTTTATTTTTCTAATTTGTCCAGCTAGCGCAGTGCGCACATTCTAGAGTAAATAACAAGGCCACTGGCTCTTTTAACTAATGTAGTTTACACTACCATTCAAAAGTTTAGTGGTCAGTAAGATTTGTTTTAAATAAATCAATATTTCTATTCTGCAAGGATGATTCTAATTATAATTTATAATGTTACAATGTTTCTATTGATCTTGAACTTTCTATTAATCAAAGAATCTTGAAAAAAAGAACTGATAATAATCCGAAATGTTTCTTGAGCAGCAAATCAACATATTATAATGATTTCTGAAGGATCATGTGACACTAAAAACTGGAGTATGCTGCTGAAAATTCAGCTTTGATCACAGGAATAAATTAAATAAAAAAAAAACTTTAAATGCAAAACAGTTATTTGAAATTGCAATAATATTTCCCAATATTACTGTATTTTTGAACAGCCTTGGTGAACATAAGATACTTGTTTCATACACATTAAAAAAATAATTCTGACCCCAAAGTTTTCAGCAGTAGCATATCGCAGAGGAGTTTTCACTTCAACACTAAGACTGTCCTCACTTGGTTCTTCAAAAAAAAAAAAAAAACACAAAGTTTTACAAATTAAAAGTACTTTTTATTGCATTCATTATTCAATTCTCACATATTAAGCTCTATTATAGTGCAAGGCTGTGCATTATACATGACCATAAGGAAAGTGACCGGACCAGAGCTGTTTCCTGCCCTTCACCCCTCCTTACACCCTGAGTCTGATACGTCTCTCCTGACACACGACCAAACAACTCTCTCTCTCTGTGTTTAGTGTGTTTGAGGTAATACTGACTGACTGACTGTTCTAAGCTGGATAATGTCAGTTTGAGCCTCAGGCCATCTGACTCCTCAATGTTGTGTGTCTGCATGCGTTCAGCCCCCTTTGTTACATTCATGTGTGTGCGACATGCAGAATATACACTAAAACTGATGGGGCACGACCTAAAATGGACTGAAGGTCTGTTCTGATCGTAACAGCAGGGAAAAGGGAAATAACAAAGCAGAATGGGATTAGTATAATGCAACTAACCATATAATCATGCATAGGTAGAATAGCTTTTAAAGGCTAATAACTTGCATTATTAACTTTTTAAAAAGATGGAAAATCCTACCCTTATCTTTTGTTGTTGTCATAAGTGGAGGTGCCATTAAACTCTACAGCATTTTGGAGCAAATTCATCTGTTTCTAGACGACAGTGAAATTAGGCACAAATCAGCATGGCCAGGTTATAATAAATAAAAAAAAATGAATAAAAGACTTATGCACATTACATATACGTTCACTTGCTGCATTGATAAATATGGGTTTTGTGAAATGAAAACTGAGTGCTGAGAACATGAAACCATAGAAATTCAAGAGACCATAATCTAAATGTTAAAAGCCAAAATTCATAATATTTCGAACAATTCATTTATTTTATTATACATTAATAATATTTATACATTTTATAGCATTTTATATATAATAATATAATAAATGTAATAATATAATATTTTAATATCTTATTTAGGGTTGCAAAGGGGTGGATATTTTCCAGAAACTTTCCAAAAGTTTCCAACAATTCCTGAAAATGTCCATAAATGTCCAAAATTTCTGGAAATTATAATGTTTTTGGCATGTGCAGTTCAAAATAGTTTTAATATGATTTCAAGGACTTTTTTTTTTTTTTTACTTTTTTTTTTTTTAAGTTTTTGATTTGTAAAACAAAGCGAAACAAAAGCAAAACATTATATTTTTACTTTTTAGTATTTGATCCTCCTTATCTGTAAAACAAAGCAAAACTAAAAAGCAAAACAAAAAAGCAAAACAAAAACAAACAAACAAAAAACGTTTTCCATTTCAGGGACAACAAATTTGGATCCTTCAAGTGTTTGTTTTCTATTTTCCTTTCCTTCCGCACTTTCCCTGTCTTAATTTCTCTTTCTCATTTGTTTGTTGTTCTTTCTCTCTTTTGATTTTAGCTAAGCCTAGAAATCACCAATAACACATTGTAACAATAACAAAGCAAACAAAATGCTCAGAACACCTTGGTAACCATGAAACCCTATCCTGACAAC